GTTTGCATTTACTTTATCGGCTTGTCTAATTTGTTATTTAAAAAATGGATTTGTATTTGATGAATTATTTTCAAGTTCAAGTGAAAGTTCTAAAAGTGAAGAAGAAATAATAAATATTATTTATGACGATAACGAAAATCATTCGAAAAGAAAGAAAGCAAGAATTCACAATTTTATTGAAAATGTAATTTGTAAATACAACAATGAAGAATTTCATGACCGAATATAGGATTCCTTTATTTAATTAAATGTATTCTCATCAGTTCAATATTCGCTTCATGTTACTTAAATCATATTTCAATAAATATGTATAATAATAAATAATCAACTATATATTATAAAAGTAAAAATTAACCTCTTTCTTGGACAAGCAGTTAGTTACAGCACTACCAACCTTGTAACTAAAAAGAAAATTTTCGACACAGCTATCGGAACACAACCATAGGGTGCTTTCCAATTGCTAAACACATCTTGACACTAACGTACATACACAGGAATGCACAAAGTGTAGCTTTGTGCATGACTCAATTGGAACAGCGGTTTCGGATAGCGTAAGGTCAATTTTTTAGTACATGCCCGTATCTTGATATTTTGTAATAATAATGTGATGGTGCATTTCCATGTATAGCGTGTATTTCAACCTAGAAGATTGACAATTTATGAAAAAAATTGAAGAACATGTTGCACACGTCAAACTCGTGTCATTATTTTGTAAATAATTAGAAAAAAAATCATTAACACATATATATGTATAATTATGCGCACTGTAATATTATATTTTTGAATAAAGTTGAACAAGCACATACATCTAACCTATAAAAAAAAATATAAAAAAATAGAATATATATTAGATTTATTTTATTAATCAAATATGATAAAAAAATATATAACAAAAATTTATTGATACCAAATAATTCCAATATTACTTACTTCACTGATATCATTATTTTCATCGTCCATTTCGTTATTTTTCCTCCTGTATTTTAATGCAATATTTTTCATACTGCATTAAAAAAAACGAAAATTCATGTTCTCCAACCTCATTTATAATCTCCCGACTTGAATGTCACTAAAAACACAGGGCTTACACAGCCCTCGGCTGAGTACAAGGGGTCAATCATGAAACTTTTTTCCTAGGATGAAAAGTGAAAAATGAAAAATTTCTCCATTAACTTCAAAGATTAAAATTTTCACTTTCCATCCTAGGGATAAAGTTTCATGATTGATATTCAGGAGGCTTATTACGGTTTTTGTGACGAAGTGAAAATTAAAAAATGATCAAATTCACTAAAAGTTAACCAACGAAGTTATAAATATTCTAGTAAATTCAATCACTTTTGTAATTTTCGTTTCGTCATAAGGAACCGTAATAAGCCCTCAGTAATGGAATTCTGTAACTCGTTATGCAATAGGGTCTTATTTGTAAAAATTGAAATGTGTAAAAAAATTATAATTAATTACTTTATACGCTTTTTATTAACTTAAAAGTAATTTAAAGTGATATTAATAATAGGATTTTTTATTAAAAACGATTAAAAGTGCTTAAAAAATGAGTGGGGAGTGAACGCAATATGATTGGCCGTGACGTCACGATTCAGCAGAGCCCGGTAAGTTTAAACGTTGTAAATACATACTTCATGTAAATGACACATACATAAGATATATAAACAAAACAAATGTGATATTTAACGGATCATGCGAATTACTAAGGGTGCGTTCCGTTTCTTGCATGATGCGCATAATGCATCTTTTATCCTTGTTATTCACCGAATGTTAAACAAGGATAAATGATGCATTATGCACATCATGCAAGAAACGGAACGCACCCTAAGTAATCAGTTACAACATGGCGAGAAATATTACAGGTTTTGTTAAAGCTCAATCGGATAATTTACCAAAATTAAACGTTTTAATGGTTGCTGACTTTTTTAGTGAAAATGAATTTTTTAACGTGGCAGAGACAAGAGGTGTTAAAGCTAAAAGGTGTTTACACACTTTACATACATTCAATATATATAAAAGTTTAATATAGTTCCACAATCAATATCTGTATTTTACAGGGCTGAAGGTAAAGATTATGGTGATGCATCAGCTGTGATGCATCTATCGTCAAATTCAAAAGTTCTTTTTGAAGTTGATGGACGATCTGTAAGTATTACATTATTTATTATATTCACATATAATGTAATTCGATAATATTAATTTTTATTTGAATGATACCAATATTAATAACATTAATGTTGCTTGCATCTGATGTTTCTCGATGAGGCTGGCAAGCAAATTTTGTCGGCATAACTCCATTCTTTAAGCGAATGAGTACGTTTGGAATGAACCTGACTTGCATGTAATTTTCAACATCCTCCTCTAACTGCAAACATAAAATCAATTTATTTTGAATTATTTAGGATTAATTTATTATATTTTAGGTATATGACTTACATTGAAATGGTGTTCACAACAAAACAAACTACTAGTCAGCGATATAGTTGAAGCATCAGTTCGGCCTGAGATTTCGAACCATTTTCTTCGAATCTCTCCTTTTGGCACTGACAGGAAAATTGTTGATGGAGAACAGATATTGTTTTGAGTGCATGAAGGCACAAAACACCACTTGTAATTTCTTTTTTTCTCTGCCATTACTCGTTTCTGCAAATTTTCTGCCATTTCACATCGGTTTATGTAAATTTTAAATCAACTGTCAACAACAGCTGTCACCGACCTAACCTAACTTATTTTAATAAAATAGTGAATATTTAGTCATAAAAAAATTATATTTATAGATTTAAATTATCTGCATTGTTCATAAGATCCATTTATCAATATTAGCAATACTCATTTACGGCCAAAAAATTATTAAAAATTATTAAAAAACAGAGGAGCGAAAAGAAAGTGTGATTGGCTTATAGCGTGTGACGTCACGATTCAGCAGGATATGGCGCGAATAAATGAGCGTTCAAAACATACGTGATTTTTAACTTATTAAAAAAAATTATTGATTGATTTTTAGTAACTTTTGTTATTGTAACTTTTGTTTTTACGGGTAGAAGCATTGTTTTAGATAAAAAGAAAATATTCGAGGAAGACCCTATTGTTATGTGCTCATAACGACAGCCGCGCAGATATTTTATATAATAAAAAAGCTGCGCAACTGTCGTTATGAACTCGTAACGACTGCATAACGAATTACAGAATTCCACTACAGGGGGTCTATTCTTGAAAAGAAACGTATACGAAAGTCTAGGGAAATACTACAGTATACGTTACGTATACTATAGTACTTTCCTAGTTTTTCGTATACGTTTCTTTTCAAGAATAGAGCCCCAGATGTGTAGTGTTGTGTCGACGATAACGGGCAATTGGAACGCAACTTGTGTCACTGTGTGCATGAAAGTGTCTAGGGATATTGTAATTGGAAAGCACCCATTATTTCTTACTACGCATAATTAGATCCGGGCTTAAGGGGGCATACCTGAGTAAAATTTTCAAAAAATCGAAAAAATTTTTTTTGTTTTTTCGAAAGATTGATTAAAATATGCTCCTAAAAGGTTTTTATAAAGTTCAAAGTATTTCTTGAGTTATGTGAGTCTTATGGAATGGGCGCACAGTGCGCTGAAATCGTACCTGATCAGTCGCCCTATACCGAACGCACAATAAGACCCTCGACCTAGTAGTTTTTTGTATACCTACATTTCGTCTTACAGGTGTGCGTGCGTGCGTGCGTGCGTGTGTGCGTGTGTGTTTCAAAACTAGAAAATTCGTTGGACAGCCATTAGTTGTTCGTAGCACGAGGCACGATGCGCGTCAATATTTAGTTCTACGCGAAATAAAATTGGTAGAAAAAATATAAAATCTGATAACCGTAACAGAAATTGAGATGGTAGAAAAAGACAACGTCTTCTAAATAGATATGAATTAGAGAAACCAGTTGATTTGGTGAGCACTTCTGCTAAAAAATTGAGATCATCTAAGACATTTGATTTTTCCATTAATCAAACCATCGGCTATAGAATCATAAATTTTTACTCCGTTTTTCTGGCGCTTGCTGAACATGTGAAATGCAAATCTTGTGGAGGAAATGTGGAGTTTGAAGAATCAAGTAAGCGAGGACTTGGATTTAAAATTACAATAAAATGTCTATCGTGTGCTCCAAAATTAATTAATTCTTGTCCGAATATCAACAATTACGCATATGAAATAAATACCAGATTTATTTTTACATCTATGCATCTTATCGGAATAGTATGGAAAGGAGCAGAAAAGTTTTGTGCTTTTATGGATTTGTCGCATCCTATTTTTCAGTCAACTTATGATACAATAGTTAAAAACATTTGTGATGCTGTAAAACTCATTTGTGACAAAATTTTAAATAGTAGTGTCAACGAAGAATTAGAAAAGACTGAGGAAGCAAACCAAAGTGCTACAAATACGACAAATAGTTGTTATAATTTAATAGTTTCTGGTGATGGCAGTTGGAGAAAAAGAGGCTTTTCTTCTTTATTCGGCGTGTTTAATTTAATAGGATACTATTCCAATAAAGTTGTAGACGTCGTTATGAAATCTAACTTTTGCAAAGCCTGTAGTAATATGAAAAAATACGAAGGAACGAATGAATACAATATTTGGTTTGAATCTTATCAAAATAATTGTCAAATTAATCATAATGGAACAGCAGGGAAGATGGAAGTTGACGGCATCGTAGAAATGTTCAATTGATCTGAAAATGTACATGATGTGAAATATAAATATTACATTGGCGATGGTGACAGCAAAACCTACAAAAATATCGTTGATGCAGATCCATATGAAGAAAGTTGTAAAAAAAGTTGTAAAAAAAGAATGTATTAATCATGTGTCAAAGCGTATGGGCAGCAGATTGCGAAAGTGCAAAAAGAATAATAAAGGTCTTGGTGGCAAAGGAAAACTAACAGATAAAGTTATTAATGACATGTCACTTTATTACAGTCTTGCGATTCGCAAAAACAAGGATTCCGTGAATGATATGCATAACGCTATTTGGGCTATACTTTTATATAAAAGTTCCACGGATACAAATCCTCAACATCAAAATTGTCCTGAAGGCGCTGATTCGTGGTGCACTTGGCAAAAAGCGAAAGCTGAAGATAAATTGCAGGAATATAAGCATAAGCCGGCTCTTCCACATAATGTTATCGAAGCAATAACGCCAATTTTTAAAAATTTGACCGATAAAGAATTACTGACAAGATGCTTAGGTGCATATACACAAAATAATAATGAAAGTTTTAATAATCTGATATGGAAAATTGCACCAAAAGTATTGCATAGTGGAGTTTTCATTGTCAAAATAGCGGCTTGTTTAGCCGTATGTAGGCCATTTATTATTATTGCAAATTGTGGAATTGTTAGGAATATGCATTGGACCCGAAATGACAAATTATGTTGTAAACGAGGATCGGCGACGAATTGCTGCTGAGATGCGAACGCGAGCGGCAACGCACGAAGAAAGAATACATTTCAGGAAGGATATGAATGCAATAAATGATGCTGCCGATGCTACAGACGATTCATTTTATGGTCCTGGAATAGATTCACTATGGTAAGCTGACAAATTCGATAGATTTCTATTAAAAAATCAATACTGAAACTTTAAACGTGTGTTTCTCAAAAGTGTTTTTTTTCAACTGGCTCTATCTATAACTCGAACAATTTTCGACCGATTGAGCTCATCTTTGAACAGTAGCTTCACAAAACGTATAGTTTCAGTTAAGCATAAGGATTTTTTTTTAATTGTTAGTTTTCAAGGGGCGAGATGTTTAAGAAGTTCAAAATGTAATGAAAAAAAAAATTTTTTTTTAACCGTTTCCATTTTATAAAAAAGAATTATTTAAAAAAATCACTATGTTTAACTGAAACTACACTCATATAGAATTGAAATTTTCAAGCAAATTTTATTTCAGATAATTACAACTTGAGTTCTCTACAGAGCCGATGGACCATGTTTTGTGAACACGGAAGTCTACAATGTTGAGCAACATCGTCATATATTTATATTTTGACATATAAAAATTCTTAAAATATCTTCAAAGTATACCCAATTGATACATCAATTCATATTTTTTCTAAAACTTATAGTTACTTTTAAAAAATTGACAAAAAAAGCCTTTTTTTAAAGCCTTTACTTAGGTATACCCCCTTAATTCATATGTACGTAACCGGACAAAACCTCCGGTTGTAACAATTATTATTTTAAATCGTTTGTATTTCGTATGAAGAGTTTTGAAGTGCAAATAAAAAGGTTTGTAAGTCATTCTATTAATTATAATTAATCATTCTTTTTTGGACCATGTACTTGACCGAAATAATTAACCGGATCTAAATTCAACAAAATTTATACATGGAATCGTTTGTATTTCGTATGAAGAGTTATAAAGTACACATTAAAAACATTTGTGAGTCATCCATACATTTTTAATTAAATATTAAAATATCATGTATTTGACCGAATATAGATACAGACGCTACGGTCACGGAAATTCCATTAGACGCGATAGGTAGTCTCTCTAGTATTTCGATATTCTTGGTTCTTTTCTGATGACATGACAGTCATAATAACATAATATTAACATAAATTAAATAAATATTGGCGCTTGACTGGTGTAATTATTAGAGCAGAACAATAAAGTTTTGTATTTCTCTACGTTATCGTGTTAATAAAATTCCTTCTTTCTTTCACGTTTACGATTATGAGTGGATCCGTCAGAAGGTATCTAGCCCACAGTATTTCAAGGTTACAAAAAAAGGCCCTCATTTTCTCTCTGATAATACTATCACGGTACTAGAAAAAATACATTTTTACAAAATAAATTATACATTTCAATCAAAATACATGTATATTTCGTTATATCATCATTATAATATAAATATGCATTAACCACGCTTATAATTAGCATAAATTTCACGGAACATGTCGCGACATTTGATTTTTGTTCCAAGTTTTGCACATAACAAAAATATTCCAGACAATTTTCTATGTAAGCTATATATTTCCTCGGGTGGTGGACATAATCTATGATTTATTATAGTTGGCACTAAAGCTTGGATCCTGCAATACATAATTATTATGTGTTATAGGATGGATGCAGAAATAGGTTGAACATACCGTTTTATTACATCTTGACCACCAAAATCATAATACTCGTGATTGTTGTCAAACACTTGTCCAAGAATCATAACTGCATCTACATGAGCATCCTCCATGATCTGATAATGTAAAAATTGTTCAATTAAAACTACATATATATATATAGCTTTTTAAAGTTTTTTGAGGTTGCTTAATAGAGATAAGATACTTTGGACTCGTATCCAGTAAGAAACTTCATCTCTTGAGATAATTGTAGAACCTTGTTGCGATTTCCTTCACTTGCAGCATTAATGACTTCTATATATTTATCCATAAACATTTTGTCATATGTTCTACATGCTCCAAAATCCAGTAAAATTAACTACAAAGATGTATCTGTTAATACTTTTTCGCGATTAAATTACAAATACATAATTACGATATAAAGAAACCTGTTTTGTATCAAGATTGTAAAAAAAGTTGGACCAATTTGGATCAGTCTGCATATATCGAAATTCGAATAATTCTTTTAGGCTCAGACGCATGACCAGTTCACTTATATGTTCCTTAATTGTAATATCCATATCTATACATTTGTCAACAGGTATACCTTCTATCATCTCTGTTGTAAATACTTGTTTTGTACAGAAATCATCTAGAAATTTAATTCATATTAAATATCAAAAAAATTGATTCCATACATCTTTTTTTTATTTATCTATATCACTTACCTATTACTATAGGCACATAATATTCTGGATAAGGCATTATTAACTCCCTATATTTTTTCGTACACTCTGCTTCCCTTATATAATCCACTTCCCACGCCAGTTCCCGTTTCGCAACCTCTACTACATTATCTATAAACATTCCCTCTGGAAACATATTCCACACCTGCAATGAACACATATTATATTTATATAATGAAATTTACTCAGTAAAGTTCTTTGCAGGATACACATAATACTGATCTGTGATATTATTACCTTCATTATGCCTATTAAATTTTCAATATCACTCTGAATACCCATAGCCACACCAGGATATTGAATCTTTATCGCTACATCTTGTTTATTCAATAATGTACCATGATGAACTTGTCCTAGGATATATCATATAATTAGAAGATCTCTTAATTTTAGTATTATACATATATAAATGTGAAAAGTAACAAATCAATATATACCAATGGATGCTGCGGCAAATGGCTTTTCTTCAAAGAACGCCAATTTATTTCTCCAATTATGTCCAAGTTCATTAGCTAACACTTTCTAGAAGGAATTATAGACACATTAAGAGATTGCTTTTTAACTTGTATATTTATATCATTTTGTTACCTCTACTTGCCAAGCTGGCATAAAATCAGCACTTTGTCTGACTCTTTCAAAAACTTTCTGTAATTCGGGGCTTATGATACTATTATCTTGGATGCTTAATATTTGACCAATTTTTAAAGCTGCACCTATATTTTTAGTAAACTGATAAAATTTTCATATATGTATATAGATACATAATACAATTGTGTGTGCTTTACCTCTCACTTTACATAACGTTGAAACTATTCTTTCGGCATTAGCTTTAGTAAGAAACATATTGTCAACTGTATCTCCAATACTACGCTCCTTTAATCCGAATGTCCTCCGTGTATATTCTGCAGCAGTACCAAGACCAAGACCAATACCTAAAGTACCAAAACTCACCATTCTTTGCAATCTTGTAGAAGGAACTTTTCTTTCTTTGGCAGTAGATGATAGCTGTAATATAAGTTAAATAATACATTAGTTAAAATGTGAATATAAATACACATAAACCAACTTAATAAAAATAGATACATGATGCAATAAATGAAAATTTATTTTATGGTACTTACACATTGCTTTGGTCTAACTGATAATTTAGCTTTTGGTCTCTCTTTAGAATTCATTTCCATATGTACATGTTCCTTTTCATATGCTTTAATAGTAGAAAAATAAGCAGAGCTTACAATCCTATTTTTAATATTTTTCTCATGTTCCAATTCCAATTTTTTTAAGATTTCTTTGTCTTTGTCAGAGAATTCTATGTCAGGTATCTCATCTTTATCTAAATTACTAATAGTCTTGATTTTTTCCTTTACACTCATATATTTTTTTGTTGTGTCATTTTGCATGCCTTTTAAAGACTTTTGAGTTATAGATTTGTCAATATTGCATTTTGATAACATGACATCTTCATCAATAGGCAATTCTTTTGGATCTTTCGCATTATTGTACACATATAGCTTGGTTTCTTTCTTGAGGGTATAATCATTAATTTTTATATCCAAAGTTTGACTAGCTGTTACCTTAATATATTGTTTAATACTTTTCTCAACTACACTTATACGTTCAGTTATTTCTTTCAAGTCTTTTATTATCTGTTCCTATAAAAAAAAGCAATTATATAATAAGAGGTAACATATGTAAGGTATTATATGTTACATTGACATCACTCAGATGTTAATCACAAGACTTACAGGAACTTTACTTGGCTCTGTGTTAGTCAATTTTTTTCCTATAGCTTGTAAACACTTCTCCGGTAAATCTTTTAAACTGGAATGTGTGATTCTATATCTGATTGCATTTTCCTGATGTTTCATTAAAACATTCGTAACCCTTTGTACTCCTTTGAATACGTTAAGTAGATCGGAAACTTTAGATCGAGGCATTTCTGAGAAATATGTAAATAATAATGAATAGTAATGCATTTTTTAATATACTATACAATAGTTTCGATAGAGCATTTTAATAATAATAATAATAATAATGTGTAAAACTATAAGCAATATGAATCCTCTATCTTCGTTTCATAGAACTGAACATTAAGGTTAGCACAATTTTGTATATCTTATAACATGAAAAATATGAATTCAGTATCTTAATATAACACTAAAAATAACTTAACGATGTAGATTATAAAAAATAATTCATCTATAAATAAAACAATTACGAATAAAACCTTTCGTGTATCATTCTACCAACACATTTCGGTGTAGGCGATCGTACCACAGTATATACAGTAGCGCAACTCTCACGCTTTCACTGTGGATAAAAATGAACTGCACATGCGCGAGCGAGGTATGTAACCAATCAGGG